GGAGTTCAGATGGTATGGATCAGCCGATTCAAATGTTTTCACAATTTAAAAAATATTATTATTTTGTAATGCAGCACATCAGTAGCAGAGACTTTGACCTTTTCGTATAATTTTTTTTAGACTTTTATTTTTGGATTTTGATCCAAGTTCAAATAGAACTTTTTTTTAAATAAACGAAATTGTGTTTTTGCCCAATCATTTTCTATGTCAATCGTGTATTCCCCGCGTAATTTCCAGTGAAATGACACATTAATCAAGGCTTTAGCATAAATAGTTCTTGAGTTATAGGGCAATCAAAATAAGAAGTTAGCAGGTGACCCTACAATTTTACCTCCTCACCCCCTGAAGCATTTGACCTACTGACCCTATGAGGCTGAAGTTCGGTATTTCTGCTTTTGGGACCAGGGGGACCCGAGGGTTTCGAGTTTCACAATAATCAGAGGTGGTAGGGTGTTACCCATTGGTTGATTTGTTATGGAGTCGCCCATATTAAATTTTAGGCAGATATAGTGAATCATGTTCTCAGCCGGCAATGGTGGACCTGTGAATTACCAAATTACCAATGTCTTTGTTAGCAATTGTCAAGTCTCATTTAACTAATGGGATTACAATTACTTATCCGCGCATCTTAATTTTGTTTGTACAGCCATGAAAGAAACGAATAGATTCTTGCACTAACGTAAGGTCCTACAGGAACCCTGTAGGTCCAATAGATCCTATAGGGTCTAACCCTGATCCTGAAAATGGTCGGCTGTAAATATAACGAAAACCAAAGGCATGTGTTTCATCGCGAAAATGGGAAAGACCTGGGAATTAGCGTTGTTTAATGCGGGGCAACGATTGTAAGTGATTTGAGCGTTCCCTTATCTTGGTATGATAATAGCAGAGTCAGGAACGTGGAAAAGAGCACGTAAAAGAGACTAGCAAAAGCAAATATGGCTGGGGCTGTACCTCTCAGGACTGTGGTTAGAGGTTCCATCTCACTTCGACGGACATTTCTTCGACAGGGTTTTGTCAGATGGGGTTCAATGAAGTTGGATTTGTTACGCGGACAACTCATCACGTTATGATGCGTCGTTGACTGACAGACTGCATAGAAGTTCTTTCACCAGAACGCTCCTTCGACTAAACTTAAGAATATTAAATTGGTAGGTCGCTAGTGTTACCAAGGAGACACAGTGTGGAAGTCACCTTCTCTGGACTCCCAGTAATTTATTCATTTATTCATATTTTTGGCTGATTATAAAGTTTTGTAAGTTGAATGCAAACAAAGATCGTGAATACAGAGTAGTATATGGTTATGTATTCAGTAAGGAATTGAATTGATGAATTCAATTCACTTCGGTGAACTCCATCAGACGAAACCCTGTCGAAGAAACGTCCAGTCGAAGTGGGACAATCTCAAACAATTTGATATTTGGACTTCTTCATGAACGAGGGGGTTGCTCCTGGATCCAATTAAGAAAAAATTACAGGAAGAGAACTCAAAAATGATTTTTCTTTGAACAAATAAATAATATGAATTTCTCGTAATTTAAAATTGATACTTGCTTTGAAAATAGATTTTCTGTGAAGATTCAACGTTGGCAAATCCGATTTCACAATCATTTTTGTATCGACAGTAGATTCTTTTGCAATTTTGCCTACATTTGGTTGCCCATTGAGGTTACAAAGGATAAATGAAAATTTAGAGATAAGTGCAAGCTTGGGAATGCTTACTCGCTGAGAAAGGCAAAGTCTGCGTTGAGATTGCATCTACTTTGAGTTTCCTTCGTGGAAAAAGGAAAATAAATTTGAGAGGCACAGAGTGAAAGTTGCGCGAGGGTCTCGCTTTGTCTCCAAGACGTCACAACGCTACCTGTTTTCACGTTAGAACTTCTCTCCACAAACTACACCGTCTTTTATAGACGTTACAAGAAGCAATACTAGCGTGACCAGTACGGCAGTACTAATGGGCAGATATTTTCATTTCAGACGTTGGAAACAGAGCGGCGTTTTTCAGTGATCGGTCGGCGGTAACTCTCTGTCTTACTGCATAAACTCTGCCGGCGGCAACGTTCTTAGGCACGTGACTTGTCTCATTCCAGCCCCTTTTCCTTTCCTCGCCTCCATCCTCGAGTCCTTCAGTTTCTCAAAAATCATTTCGATTTTTGATATCCTCATCTCACGTGATAAAGGTGAATAAGCACAATTCGAGTATTCCAGGTACTTGTACGATAAAGGCATACGATCGTGCCTCGCAAAGAATATTCGAGATGAGAGTTGAGAATCGGGTGATTGGAATTCACTAGAACCAGCCTCGATCTCTCGACGACACGACACGCAAAGTAAGGCCGCAGAATTCGTGCTGAATTCATGTTCTCAATAGCCTATAGTGAATAGGGCAGCAAGCTTCATGGTTGAAGCTCCAATCGTATTCGGGGAAAGCAAGGATCATACAACTGTCTCTCCGTGACAGAAAGGACCTAAAACATCGATTGTTCTCTATATTTCGACTTGAATATCCCATTAATTACCCTTAATCTGTCGTTGCACTTTTCCTTGCCCCACCTTCTGCATGAATGTTTTTTCTATCGTCTCTCACCCTTTCCTTCCCATCATGTTTCCGGGGAAAAGGCATCTCCGTTCCTGCGAACCTCATTCGCAGGTTCGCAAAGGCTTTCCTTGCCTGAGTAGGCCTATATTGATTGTGAACGCTCAACCTCGACCCAGGACGTCATAATGTGCAGATTTGCCTCTTGACGCCTCTAGCCAAACCTTAAACTTTGATTCAAGCCCTTCCGTGGGTGCGCAGGGAGTCACTGCGCCAGGTATGCAAACCTATCCTTCCTCATTCCAGAGTTGAGGTCCTCCTTCCTCTTCTGATGCCTGCGTTGGATTGAAAGCTGGCCAGCTAAGGCAGGCAACATCGTGCCTACTTGTGGAGCAAAAGCACATCCAGCTGCAATTTTGGAACATGTAATGATAAATCTGTTTAGTGTTCTAACACTGCTTTCGGATTGAATTCGTACATCACCCTTCCCACCCCTACACCCCACCCAAAGGAACGTTTCCATCGATTGCAGTTAGTGACATCTTCCACATGTTTTGTGGTCTTTGCCTCGCAGATCTCGCAAAATGCGGAAGTAATCAAATATAACATTGACATCCTGAGCAAATATATTTCACTTCTTGAAAGATCAATACAATGCTGGTTTCAACAACGGTCACAACAAGTAAATCAAACAGCGAATCGAAGAAGCGATCAAAGTGTTCTATTCTGACAAAATTTGGTTCCAATCAGCCTTTGGTGGCTTGAGAGCTCGATGTCTGTGAGCTAGATGGAGAATCGACAGCATTAAATTCCTGCATTTGAAAACTTGTTTTGAAGGTGAAACAAGTTGGGCAAGCCCAGTCCAGTAGTGGGCAACCTTTCAGTTAAGGAAACCCTCATTTTGTCACCTAATTGAACAAAATGCCATCTCTTTCTGATTCCCGACCTTCAAAAATCTCATTTCAAATTTGTTTTTGGTAAACGTAGACAAACGGTGCCCATGAAACGATGATGGGAGGATTGAGGGCTGTGCGTGGCTGGATCCATCCGCCACGAAGGTTGGTAGGGATCTGACAGCTCTGGTTGCTGACACGATCTCCAGAGCCTGAAGGGCTCACGGGTACTCATGCCTTCCTCTCCGTGACCAAATTTCAAATCCACAATTTGCAATAAAAATGCCAATTTTGGTGCAAATTCGCCACAAAACGAACTCTGCCTGTATCTAGTTCATATCTACCCGCTTGCCAATTTTCACATTGATCAGGCCAGTATCTTTTTATTTGTGGTCGGACAACCAAAGTGTGACACGGACACAATGACGGGAGCATAAGTGGTCTCTTTCCTTTCAGGAAAGGATGCCCACTAAAAAGGAGATTTCGAATTTCAGGAAAAAGATTATAGCTTCGTCCAGATGAGCGATTTTTCACAAAAATAGGCGCATGCATGAGATTTCGTTCAGGGCTTTCCAAAAATGTATCTACGTATTCGCATAGCTAGCTTCACTGGATGCAGACACAGCCCATGGAGAAGAAAGGTTTATTATGTACCAGTTTTTGGTTGACTTCGAACTCCACAGGGGAAAATTAGACTTTAAAAACTTGTAGAATGAAATTATCCCCTTATGGATCTAAGGAAAAAAAAACTGATGTGGGGATTGCCCTCTCCAAAAGGGGTGTAAGCAATCAGAAAGCCCAGTCCAAACCTTTTCCGACGATATGTAATTCTACCGAACGGAGCTGTAGTACAATGAAGTTGCGCCTGTAGTATGGCAGGAGCGTTCAGGAACTGAACATGCTCCATGAAACAACTTTAAGCGCAATACTTTTGTATAACCACTCCCCATGCGTATTTGCACTCATTATCAAATATCTCGAATGACTTCCATGTTTCTCTAGGAAGGTTCAAGTCTTGAATGAACAGGAGGAAAAAATAGATGAGGGATTTCTTCTGCGAATGTTTTACAGGACTGAAACTTTACATGTTTTACAAGCCTGTTATTTATTTAATCGGCGTTATGAGTGCTCTGTACGTTGCATAAAAACGTATTTGCGATGTGCAATGCCTCAGCATCGGTTGAAAAAATTACAGAATTGTGGGTAGAAACACGAAACTTGAAACATCTGTTTCGTGCTGGAAAGGACTTCGCCAAAAAATCATGGGTCAAATAGCATTTTCTACTTCTAACATCCCTTTCTATAAATACACCATTTTGTGCTATTCGGAAATTGAAGCAAACTTAGTGTGATTTGATGATCTATGTGCATTTTGCCAGCCTACTTTTTTGCATGTTTCATGCAAAAGTACCTTTTCTGCAGTTCAAAAAATTGAGTGCACCTATCAGCGGATTATTCATGTCTTAAGTCACTTACACTCCGAGGTTGTGCTTTCTGAGCGCGATCCCAAGTGACAAACTCTGTTTTTCACACAAGGGTTTCAGTATATCTAATGTTTCAAAGAAAATTCACAATAGAAGATACAATTTTCTATTTATTCGAGTCATACCGGGGTTTAGGCAGTAAACCCAACAATCACAGCCATAAGAAACCCAACAGAGGCTACCATAATGGCAAATTATGTCATACCGTCAGGACATTCATTCATGGATTCGCACTGGAGCTAGGCAAGATACCCAAAAAAAGGGAAGAAAATCAACAAATAAAAGAAACGCGGAAAAGTCAGCTGAAGTAATGCTATGATTGCGAGTCGTTTCAAATTTCTTAAGGAAGTCTGCAACGATATAGAACTATAATTTCATTTATCTATATCAACAAACAAGAAACTCGAAAAAGTCAGCTGTAATGCTATGAATGCGAGTAGTTTCAAATTTCACTAGCAAGTCTGCAGTAATATCTATCTATAATTTCATCTATCTACCTATAAATCTACCTATCGAAGGAATGAGTGAGGCCCCTTTTGATATATTCTAGACAACACTGGAGACCCCTACACAAAAAAATCCCGTATGATAATTAACCGGCTGTTTCATATCTAACCACATCAGTTGAAGTCATAAGATTCAGAGTCACCAGTCGAGATTCATAAGAAATGAGGGTATGAGATGATGGCATACAAATGCACAGGGATCTCGTTTCTATACATCAGCACGATAAATGGAAGATTCCTCTATCTTGCCCAAGGACGAAGACAAGTCCGTGGTCGCCAGGAGTTCTCTCCTATCATTTCCAACTCGACCTGGAAGCCCAAAAGGGGAATGGTTTCAAACAACACTGAAAAGACCGTGATTACGATGAGGCAGATGCAGTTTTAATGAGGGACTTCCTGCCTCGCGAAATGATGCCCTTGGGCGACTATATTCCGAGGTGGCGTTAATGTCCCTCTCAAAGAAAGAATACGTTCGGAAGAAAAACTTCTTTTTTTATCTCCTTCTTGCACAAGTCTTTTAAAATCCATATCTCTCATTCCGTCCGTATTATTCCTTGTGTGTGATTGTCGGTAATGGGGCAAGGGAGCGAAATGCAGACAATGGAGAACAAGTTTGACTAAGCAAGACGTGCGTCACTCGCTTACGAAACAACGAAAACAGGTAGGCCTATATCAGGCACGCATTGAAGGGAGAAAGAAGTCAAGGAATTCTGGTCAGGTTTTTTCTTTCTCCTTCAGGACTTCCCCGAACTCTTCTTGGAGAAGACGCTTAGGTATGCGTGTTCGAAAATTTCCAGCTATAGTTCTTGAAAACTAGCATGGTCCTTAGATAATTCCGGTCGTCAGGAACAGAGAAGAGTGGATTTAATGTTTTAATCAACACCCACCTCATTCACCAGAGCATTCTACAGTGAACTCTGATTGACTTCAAACATTTTCGATTTCATAAATTACGTATTCGAGATAATGACTATTTTTCGAGTTAGTAGCGCATAAATGCAGTATTGATGCTAATCCAAAAAAAAAGCTATTCATTCTATTAAAAATTGCATGAACTCAAGATGACCTATTAGTAAAAAATAAGAAACCAGTCTGAAGGCTGTGAATTTCCCACGTTACCTCCGAAGTGATTTCGGAATGATTCCTCGCGGCAAGCCAGCCGAATGTGCTTCACGGTGAAGGTAACCAGAACGAGGGCAATAAGTACGCCCAGAATGATGGATATGGTAAAAATGCCATGCTCCCAATTCAATAATGCCTTCTCCCCCATGCTCATCGGAGCTTTGAGTAATTCTTCTCCCTTCCGCAGCCTGGAGATCTGCTCCTTCTCGAACAAGTAAATTGTCTCTTGAACCCCTGGTTCCATGCCTCCTTGCACCAACACATCTATCACAACATTCGTCGAGGATTCTGGGATCTTCTCACAAACCGTGTTCGATTGCAATTTGCACAGTTGCACGGGATATTCACCCTCGTGACATCGAGTGCAAGGGGTGCAGGAATTCAGACGGGAGTCCCAATATTCCCCCTCCTCGCAAATGGGCACGGAGTTCACCAGAAAGCACAGGTAAAAAAACGTAACCAAACACAGAGGACCCGTGTCGTAAATCATCTGGAAGAGACGTTGGCATCCACTCTTTAAGGATTCGGAAAAAAATGAACGACGAACGCACAATTCCACGGCAAATGAACGTTACACTTTTCTACACAGAAGACCTGGGAATGAACTGGCAGTGGAAAGAGAGTGGAACGGACGTGCACGCAATTCACAGTCTCGCGACGCGCACTAGCGAGAACGGGTAGGGCAGCGAGAGCCTGTGGGGAAATAGGAACTGTAGAGTTCTCTCCAGGAGCAACAACTTCGCATTTCCCTTATCACTGAGTACTTTCACGATAATAAGTACCTTCGCGTGATTTGATATAAGATAAGTCTCTGGGAAAGGGTTTTTCTTCATTCCCCTGCCTGACAAACTGAATAATCGCGCGGAGGCTTCCAATAAGAAGTAACTGATTAGGCCTCTACTGGCATGTTGAAGGACTGGTGAAGGCTCCGGCAACCAGGTACTGCTCCCGCTCACCCCTTTTATTTCCATGAGGTTCCGTGACACTGCATAGAGTTTCCGTTTTCCCGTTTCCATTCGGTGTTGAAATGGACGGAATTTTGAGCGCAATTAGCGTCTGATTGCAACGATTAGCCTAGCTACATCTGGTCCTGGTGAAATCACAATTCGTCGACAACATTTCGCTTGTGCGGCAACCAAAACGTCTGTATCCAAATTCTTGAGTTCCCAATAACTCGCACGTTTTACATTTAAAAAGAAGTTCTTTCAATATATTAACTAATTTTCGCATTCGAGGATATTTATTTTCCCTAAGAGATTCCATCCAATAGCCTACGACCTAGTCCGTCTAACTTGTTAGATATATTTAACCAAATTTACTAGTCACCAATTTATATATACCAATACGTATTTTCATGCAGGCCTACAATGCTCTTACCGTTAGTTCACACCCTTTTGATGGGGGCCGCGGTTTTTTTAAAATGAGCCTACCTACACAATGGAACTAATATTTCCTGCGGTTTATTGAATGACGTTAACGGTGGTTTGGTTGAAGTCAGAGAGTCGAAGCACCAGTAGTGCTAATGCCCATATGGGTGTATGTGAACTCTTCACGAAATCACTATATGTGCTTTTTCAGAATAGTATCCTTCCTGACTGAATGTCAAGACTTGCCAAAGAAGATGTTCATGTTCTATACTCTTGAGGGCTGAATGAATGCTTATGTCCTGGGCCAGGACCACAATGTCAAGGAGGATCCTCCTCCACTCCAAAGCCATGTATTTAATATTGATATTTTGCTTTCTGGAAACTGTACGAATTTATCTATTAGCTGCCTATCAATATTGATCATCTTGACAATACATGAAATTGTGCATGGCTTCTCTAACCCCATTCAATTCATTGGATATTTGTTCAACCCCATTGTCAATCCCTCTTGTAGTTCTTACTCTTATCCAAATCTGAAGTATGAACCTGTACCTCAATTAGAGGACCTCTGTAATACATTTTTGATGAATAAATTAAACTGTGGAGAATTGCTAAAGGGCAAGGTAGCACAGAGGCAGGAGGTTGGAAGGTCATGCTTTCATGCTGGGCTCAGAGTCACAGAAGTCCTGAATCTAGCCCTGGACACGTGTAGTCAGGAGTGATCAACAAGTTTTGTCACCCAATCAGCCACATAATGGTGAAACTCATCTTGGTCAAACAATTGCAACATTGCTTGAAGTAATCTCCCCTCCCATGGGTGTGGTGGCATTGTCAACTGTCACAGCATTCTCCATGGTGCTTATTCTTCACTACTGGAAGGTGAAAGTCTGAGTAACTCATGTTTGGAGGATATGGAGGGTAAGGCAGAATGTTCTAGCTCCAGTTTTTCAAAAGCAGCAACCGTACTCCACTTGACATGCAGACTGCAATTTTCATGAAGAATAGCTCCTGATGTCAGCATCTCAAGTGGAACCTTTTGGAAAATGAAGGCTGGGAAATTTTGCTTCAACCAATATTTTTCAGACCTGAGACCTGTGACTCTATCTGCTTCCAGTCATGAAGAACGAGCTCTGTGGAGAATGCTATGACAGGCAACAAAGACAATGCAGTCACAGTCATGCCATTGAAAGGAATTCAGAAAGACAGGCTCTTTGAGGGACTGAAAAAGGTTGTGGATAGTTGAGCCATGTGCATCCATTTCAAGGGAGATTACAGTAAGTAATAAAGCAATTATATGGCCATGATAAGTTTTTCCTTATATGCAGCTAATGGGATGAGAGAACCTTTTGATCATCCCTCATATCAGCACCTTTGAGTGCCTTTCCTTGTTCATTATAATTGGTTCACTTAATAAAATTCAAATTGAGGGAAGTATGCTACTTTTGTGCATCGTCATTGAATTATGGCATGTAGTGAAATCAGGTGGCATTCCAACTTAGGCTTTCTCTAATTTGACCTGTTATGCCACTGATGAGCTATGGTTGCATAACCCTTGGACCTAATATGGTTGGACATTTGTATGTTCTGAGCTCTAACAATGTGACCTTTCACAGTGATGCTGTCTGAAGCATTAGAGCTAGGATTTCCATAAACTTTTATCTCTTCTACAGTTTGTATCTCTCAGGCAAATTTTGGTAGATGTGTATGGCAAAGTTGCCAGATATTCTTCTTCGTGCATTTTTCCAAAACAATTTTTTGCATTGTTGTGAAGTAAATAAATAGTTGTGAAGTAAAGTGAGCAGAGAATATAATCCTACCAAATGTTGGAAAATTTCCAAAACATGTTATATAGCACTTTTTGTCCCCGACCTTTACAAATTAGAGTGTCTCTGTTTGGAAATATGTAAGAATTGAAGTGTTAGAATCTCACATTCTGACTTTCTCAAAGCATTCAGTGCCCAAAGTATCTTTCTGTTTTCCTTGATTGCATTAGCACTTTCTGTCTTCATGTGGCTCTCTTACCTCTTCTACCCCTTTGTGCAAAAGTATGGGCGGTTGTTTATTGCTCTACTAATGGTGTGAATGAAAAGTTTGAAGGAATTACATTCATCCTTCAATGTGCTTCCATGCACACTTCTCTTCCCTTGGAGTCCTGCCTCCTATATCTCAGGAAAATGTTTTAGGATTGTAACAGAATTTTATACCTAGCATGCAGGGTTCTACTACAGACAGTAAATATTATCTGGGGCTGGTAAAATTTTATCCTGGTCTGTAAAAGGGACCAGGTAGTGCTTGATCCCCTCTCCATATTGACAATGCATCCTTATCAGGTCTAAATAGCATTTTCCTTCAGCAACTCATGATAGGCAAATTAATTGGTATCTATAGATAGGAAACTTGACAAGCACCCCTGTTCCTATAACTCTACTCTGAATTTTTCAAACCTCTTTGAATGCTCTTAGAAACCTGCATGAAAGAGGCTCATGAATTTTCTTGAAGCAGATTTACTTTGTTCTCAAATTTGGCATAACCTTCATGCATATAAAAACTCTCATACTGTCATAACATTTCCTCCTCAATTATGAATTCAACATTTAGTAAAGTCTTGATAGCTAGGGACACAAAGAAATTGCATAATTTCCTGTAAAATGTTAAATTCCATAAATAATTACAAATTGAATTGAATTTTTACTTATGAAGCTATTTGGAAAAAGCTTGCCTGTTTCCTAAGTGAATTTCCCCTTCTCATGCCTGGGAGACACATGCATATTTCTTTTAGATGCTAGAGACCAAGTAGGGGGACATCATTGCAGTTGATAAAAGACCAGCATAGTAATGGGTTAGAAAAGATCAGTTAGTTATCAGGTGATGTTGTTAGTAATTGAAATCGTTAGTGTGAACCTTGACAGCTTCCTCTGGACAGAATTAGACTTCCCCTACCTAATTCAGCTGAGCAGGCAGTGAAACCTCGCAAATCCTGACCCCACTGGTCCGGACTTCGGTTAATCTGGACTAGGATTCAAGAGTGACTCAGAATTAAATGTGTTTTGCGTGAAAAGCAGTCTAGTAACCTTTGTACAATACATAGTCCTCAAAACCCCTTTTAATTTAATAAAGTTTAGATTTAATATTTCTTATTGATCATATACAAAGTTAATATTAAGTACTGTTTTGGATTTTATAGGTTTATTATGCTTCATTTACATGTGTAATGCATTTTTTCTATATATTTAGGATTTTCTGTACTTTCAGCCTATCCGGACCCCCCCCTCCCCCCAATTAGTCCGGACTAATGAGGTTTTACTATACTCTTACACCTACACCTACCTTCCCCTCCCCTCCACTCCACCTCCCCATCCCACTCCCAAAGCAAAGGCTAGTTTGTTTTGGTCTGCTTCAAAGCCATCTAGAATATGCTAATATTATATATTACCATATTCCAACATATTTAATAATCATCTTACACTATGTCTTGTAAGCCATCATTTAAAAAAAGGAGGTGCTCCCTGTGTTCATCATTACTTAAAAGCTTGATTCTTACTCTGGACACTGTGATGCCTGCTCCACCAAATATTAAAAAAAATTAGGGTGTTCATTTTTTATCTGCCCTCTGCCCGGATGACATTTTCCACTTCCATAGTCTTGAAGTTTTTTAAAAAAATCCACAACTGTTCTTTGTTTCCATTGGCGATCTAGAAACTCTGCGAGAATTTGATTCAGTGAGTAATTATTTCTTGAGGCAGCGCGGTTATGAAACACTTGTCACTCTCACTCAAGACCATTTTGAAGGGTGCAAAAATCTAAAATCAAATTTTAGAGAATAAAATTTAAGCTTAAAGATCAAAGAGAATAATTCAAGTTCAAACGAAGAAAAAACGCTACATTACACTGAAGAAAAGCATGTCTGACTGCTGAAATGAGAGCAATTGAAAATAATTGACCAGCGAGACAACAGCGGCATGCTCGCAAAACCGGTTTTTTATCAATAATCATTCGAATAGCAACCATGAAAATGACCGGAATGAACTTTTTAAATGCACTTTTATAGGATGAAATTTGAAAGACACGGCAATTGCAAGCACGCAAAGGAAAATCGCCGTAGGATGCCCAAGGATGCTGCATACAGAGAGGGTTTTAGCAAGAAGCCAGCCTTGTTCATCTACTTTTTTGGGTGCTTGTACTTAAATTGCAATTGCTCTGGTTCCGTTGAGGAAAATTTGATAAATGATATGGTGATGGAAAGAGGATTAATGACCTTTCAATTTCCGTTTCGATCACGAAAAAGGTTAATTTGTTCAAAAGTTATTGCCGATCAAAATTGGTGCTTTTTTTTGGGCCACCCTGTATAAGTGAAGTAGTTGAAGCAAAGTCCCTTTCTGAGTGAGAGAACTGCTTCTTTTGAACTCAATGGTGAAGCCCAGAGAAAGTTCAAGGCACATGTATGAAGGGGTAAAAATCAATCTGGATACACTGTAGTGTGGTTTCTGTTATGATAGTGACCTTGGGCCATGATTTCCTTCCTGTGTTCTTGTTGGTGTCCACACGATCTGGCCTCACCTGCTCACATGTTGTACTGCAGTCAAAAATCAATAAATGAACAATTAAATAGGTCTAGCTTTGACTAAGCTGGACCTATGAATACGCTGTTTTTGGATTGAATTAATACCCTCCCCTTAGGAGTGTCTCAATTGCGTGACATCTTCCATATGGATGGTTGATGGTTTTGTGATCATCTGATGAAGTGAATCTCATGGAAGTAGTGCTTTCTCCATTCTCCACTGCTGAGGGAGGGGTAAAAATTTAATCTGAAAACAGGGTAGTAGCCCTTTGTAGGCTTAACATTGTCATGGTGAACAATTTTCTTTCCAGGTTATGCAAAGATGGCTGATCCCAAAAGGGAAGGGAGTTTCACATGGAATGACATTTTCTGTGTGATTTTTTCCATTGTTGCCTTTGTCTTTAACTTTGTCACAATGTGGCAGTTGGCACAATTCCTATCCACTCAGACATTCCAACTCAAGGATGGAATCATACGTCGGCCTGTATGGGAGGAAGATATGAAGGACTGCAAGTTCCATCAAGGTTAACATTTGCCTAACCTAGGGACTTATGTGGTTTTAAAAATGACTCTGCTTCCTGCATGGTCAATTAGATGTAGGTGTTCTCTTAGTGAGCTTAACCCTTAAACTACCAAGCCTTGAAGTTTTGCATGTTATAACATAGGCTCTTGGTCAAATTTGACCTAGTTTGGTCGTTTAATGGTTAAAGTTGTACACATGTTATGTTAAAGGCAGAAAAAAAAAGGTATTTTTTAATGTCTTCTTTTAACTCTTTATTTGCAATGGAATTC